GTTCTTAGGTGCTGAGGCCTGAGCCTCCAGAACAGGGCTGTGTTCTTCACAGGAAGATGAAAGTTTGAGGAAAAATGAGAGCAGGAAGCAGAATGACTCCCTGGGGCTTGTCCGGCAGCTTCTGAGTCCCTCGGGGGCACAAGAAGCTCTCTGGATAGCCGTAGGTACCAGAGGTCAGGCCACTTGACTGCTGCTTGAGTGTCTTTTGGGCAGCTTATTGGCTGAGGGCTGTAGCAGCTTGAAGGCTTGGGAGCATGCTGTGTTGTAACCGTGTTAGAACATGTGTGTGTGCAAGGGCAGTTTGGGGTGCCGGGTTGTTGGGGCTGGGGGTGTGTGTTCCCTGCATGCCTTGTCAGTGCGTTTAGAACGTGAGACTCTCACAAGCATGCTCAGTGGAACGCGAGTGGGACACTCCTGATGAGAAATCAGACCTTAGCGGGTAGTTCTTGTGACTGCCTAGCTAATTACCTGCCATTCGCCGTCTTTTAATGAATTCCAGGCCACTTCAGGCAACTTATCCATGTCAGATAATATGCAAAAGGAAACCTCTTTCCTTTTCTTTAAAAATGACTGTGTTCTGGATTACCCCACAACTCTGAAAGTAGCCTTCATGTTTTAGGTAGGTTCTCTTTTTCTTTTCCTTTTAAGGAAAAAAATAATTTCCAGGTCATAAGAGAAAAATCAACAAAGATTCAATGGGCCACTTCCTGCCAAGTGTCTCTGTCAGGCAGTTTTGCCCCTTCTCATTTCCGAAGCAGGGGTGCCCTCTTCAGCATTTTGTGGCTTCCTGTCAGCTTTTTAAACGAGCAGAAGGAAAAAGCCACTCTCTGTCACAGTCATGGTAAGGTTACAGCGAAATGTCCTTTCTAGGGCTTAAACAGAAACCCTCATCAAAAATGCTTTAATTCTTTCACAAAGAAGGTCAATACCTGAACAGGAAAAAAAATTAGTTTGGAAGAAATAACTACAGAATGTTTTCAGTAATATTGGTGAATTTTTACCTCAAATTTTAGATTAATGATCCCAAACTCTGAGAAAACACAGGTAAGAGAGAAACATCCAGATAGCAATTTGGGGAAAGGGGGAGATAGGTGGGGCAATGTCAGAGGGGAAAAAAACCATCCATAGCAGGAATTCTGTAAGCAAACCGTATCAGTAATCCTCTTGAAAGGGATCTTTTCCTGTGACCGTGCAGCAGGGAGGAAGTGGGAGGCACATATTTCTACAAGTAGGAGCAGAGCACTGGCCTTACGGAGGAGAAAGGAGAAGGCAGGTCCTGTGAGAGCTGAGTCACGCTGAGTCAGGAGCGTTCTGATGCTCCTGGCAGCTCTTTCTTTCTAGGGAGGGAGGTGCAGCCCCTGCTGCAAGCTCTTTGGCGTGTTCAGACACGTGGGGCGCAGGGAGCATTCCAGCAGACACGGGCCCTGAGGGGACAGGAGGAGGCGGCTGTGGGGAAGGGCTTACTGACAGCTAGGGTGTGCTCTGTGATGGGACTTGCCTCAAAGATGATGTGTTCATACCTTGTAGGTGAGAATCCAAAATGACTGCAAATTCTTTCAAAAGCCCATAGGAGAAAATGAAGTCTGACTTCTTTGGAGAAGTTTACACATCTCCAAAAATAGCAAGACATGAGCCTCTCTGAAGAATCAGATGAGGTGACTATCCAAGCTCCCACCTACTTTTAGTCGCCTCTTATACAGAGATGCTGGGGGGTCTCATTTACCAAGTGGAACGCGTGAGAGTTAACAGCAAAACCTCACGTCTCCATAAACGAACCGCTTAGATTGTATAAACAAAAGCTCTCCTGGACATGTGTATTTTCCCTTTTCCTTTTTTTCTTCTTGTGACTTAATTATCTTTAGATATTTTTAAAGTATCTTAATGCACAGCAGTAATGGTTCATGAACCACAATCCCCAATAGAGCAGGAACTTGGAACTGTTGTCATTTCCAAGGTGGCACTTTCTACAACCTCAATGCCTCTGAAGCAGATGAAAGACTCCTCAAGAATAGAAAAAAGCCTCCACTTGTGGCTCAAGTGGCTAAGGCACCAGTCACATACACCTCAAGTTGTGGGTTTGAATCTAGCCCGGCCCACCAAACAACAATGACGGCTGCAACCTGTGGTCCCAGCTACTTGGGAGGCAGAGGCAGGAGGCTCGCCTGAACCCAGGAGTTGGAGGTTGCTGTGAGCTGTGATGCCGCAGCACTCTACCCAGGGGGACAGCTTGAGGCTCTGTCTCAAAAAAAAAAAAAAAAAAAAAAAAAAAATAAAATGATTAAAAACTGGGCTCAGTCTTCATTCCCACTTCCAAAATTCACAGCACCAATGGCTTCATGTCAGTATTTTAACTTCATAATCCCACACACTGAGAAAGTTGAGCTCCATGACAGAGCTCTGATCTAATTTCACAATTGGGTTGAAGACTGAGATATCATTTACTCTGCTTAAGAAAGTCTATTTTCCGTTACATGACATGTGATGTATCCAAAAATACCCCCAAGATTTAAGGTTTTAAAATATTCCAAATGTATTGATGTCATTCCCTTCATAGGTGAATTTTGACTTTCTATTTTTTGAGTAAAGCCATATGCTCAGTGTGTTAGAGTAGATTGTGGCAAATCCATTAACAAACAGCTATGGATCTCCTTAGAGTGGGATATTGAGAATAAAGTTTCAACATTTTTAGCCCTAGAAGTCAAATGTCTTTACACAAGTCAGATAGCTGAGAGAGCTAGGGAAGGGCTGTCTCTGGGGAGGAATTGCTCTCCTTCCACCCTGGGAAAAGCAGCAGTCTGAATTATAAAATAGAATATTGTAGAAATGGAAACAAGACTCAAGAAACTTAG